GGGAGAGAATTGGGCTCTGCAGATGTCTCTAATGCAAGTAATGAATATAGCAAACAGCCTCAGCCCAGCCAGGAGAAAGCAATCTGGGTGACCACAGGCATGGATTTCATGGCTACTGTGTTCTGACCCTGGAATGTGGATGCTAATGGACAAGACTCAAGCATCCTGAGCAGCCAAGCCTGCCCAGCCCATTTTTGTAACATGAGGTCATGAAGACCTTTCCCACACCCCTCCCATAGAGAGCTGAGGTCAGAAATCAAAGAAAAATCATTAAAAATCAAAGCCTGTAAATGCTTCAGGCTCTGAAGGGGCAGCTTAGCACATCTATGAACACTCAGCACCCTGAACCAGAGATCCAAGTGAAAGAGAAGAGCATTCCAGGCATCCTGCACGCAGTGACCACAGGGTGGCTGGGGGCTGACACAACCCATCACAGGGAAGGATGAGAGGACAAAGCTGTTCTGGCCAAGCCCATGCTGTGTGTGGAGTACCAGAGAGGTTTCACAGCTCAGAGTAAACAGGCAAACAAGTGGCAGCCAGAAATGTTAATATTTGCAAAAATATCCTGGTTTTGGCGCCTGGGTGTGGGGAGCTGAAGGATGCTGGTGGAATGCAAACATGATGGATTCTTGGCTGCCCAGAGGGGTGGCATGGGGAATCTCACAGGGCAGGACAGACTGCCTGACAGCTCTGCTCATGACTGTTCACATAAAGAGTCCTGAAGGGGGAACTGGGATGAGAAGTTCAGTAGCACATGAAACTGGTCCCCTGGGATTGAGTTATTTGAGCATCCCTGGGGAAAAACAAAAACAAAAACAAACAAAACAAAACAAACTATGATTAGGCCATATTCATCCTCCTTTGCCTGTTTCAGACCTTGTTTCCCTCCCTCCATGTAGCAGGAAATGGATTTGTCCATGCTGATCCCCAACCCTTCTCCTGGATACATGAGGGCAAAAATGACACAAACCTTCAGACTCCTACCCTAACTTCACCTGGGTCCTTTCATGGCGTGTTTAGGGTGGTTTGAATCTGCTCAACACCATCTTTACAGGGCTTTTACCTGAACCATGGCTGCCACTTCATAGTCAGACAACTTCAGAGGCTCCAAAGTCCTGAAGGCTTTGGCTTTAGCAAAACAGCAATATCATTTGGGACTGAGAAGAAAATATTGGCAAATAATGGTCACCTCTAGTCACCTTCCTCCTGCAACTATTTATCCAAAGATACCATATCTCAGAGCATTGCTTCATTTCCTGCTCACCTTTCTAACCGAGGCCTCTAAATCACATCCCTGCAGTGGAGCTCACGGAGGGAAGTGTAATATCCATTAGCAGTGATGCTGCTGTTACTTTGATTTACCTCCTCCCTTCTTCTTTCACTCTTTTCTTTCTGTTTACAGCAATCCCTTTTCACTTCTTCTCCCTCCAGGTCTCAGTGCAAAGAGCTGGCAGGAGCCCACAGAAGCAAAGCTTCCTGGGATGCAGCCTGCTTTTGGGGACGTGGGGAGGCTGGGGATTTCTCCTGGACCAGCAGCACCCCACTCCTTCCTGACCAGAGATGCCAAGGGCAGTGGGAAGGGCTGGCTCCAAATCACCCCATCCTCACCCCAACAGAGTCCTTCACCTGGGGCTTGTCCAGGTCAGCACATGGAAGAGATCAACCCCAATTTACCCCTCTGTCCCTCTCCTGCCCCACCACCGGGCACTGCTCAGGGAGAGCCACAGGATCCTCCAGGAGAGACTCCAGGAGAGCAGGATCCAATCCAGAGGAATCAGAGTCCTCTGAGTGTATTTGCACTCAAACCAAAGTGAAACAAGGAAATCAAAATGCAAAGCTTCTTGTCCCCTGTGGAATTTCCCTGCCTGCATCTGGAGAGCTGACACAAGGGACTGACACTGGGATCAGAGGTTGCTTCCCCTTCCCCTCGTGTTTCACTGACACCCCAGGGAAGCTCCCAGACCCACTGCACTTCCCACTTCATCCCCCTCCTCCAGCAAGGCCAAACAGTTCCTCTGACACCATCTCCAAGAATACATATTTACAGCATGGAACAGAGAACGGTGAAGAGCTTTGGACCCATTCCATGTGCTTTGAGCCAAACCCTTCCCAATCCATCTTATCCTTCACCTCCCCAGTGCATAATCAAATTCTCCAAACACAGCGTTCTCAGGTCCCAGCCCAGAGCTTGGAGCCTCCCGAGAGGGATATGCTAAAAAAAGAAAGAAAAACATTACATTGCCAACTGAAGTGAGTGCTGAAAGGAAGGAGATGCCAGGAGCACTTAAACAGGAATCTGAGACCGGGGGACGCTCGGGTGTGTTTTCAATCCCCAGGAGGGAGATGTGTTCACTGGGAAATGACTGCCACTCACTGCTAGAGTCTTCACTCACAACTTGTAGCTGATGTCCCAGAAAGTGAAATGGCCATGACAAGGACATCCCCATCTGTATTAGAACCTTCTTCTTGGATTGATGGATTAGTGCATGGTAAAATGGTGCCACTCCTCCTTTGGCTCCGAAATCTGCATTTGCAGCTCAAGCCTGCAAAGATGGAAATAAGCAATTTTACGTGAGTGACAGGTTCTGTTGGCAGCAAGGGGAGTTATTTGGGAAGACCTATACATCAGGGGGTCCAGGACTCTGCTGGGTGCTGAAGGATGTCCTGAGCACCTGAACCCAAACTGGCAGCTCCACACCCTGGTCCAGAGCATCTCTTCCAGGAGAGCAGCATCCCATAGCCCCAGTCCTGGGCAGGGTATGTGCTGGCACTGCCCAGCCTGGTGCCATGCCAGGGGAATGCTCCTGCTGTTCCCACTGCACAGAGGGACCAGGACTAGGCTCCAGCTGGGACTAAAAGCAGAGCTAATGGGGAAGTCTGACATCAGCTGATCTATCCCAAATTCTGCTGTTTCAGGGTGAAGCTTCAATTATCCAGCTACTCTCCAAACAACGAGCCTACAGGTGCCCCTGGGAGGCTGTCCATAACAGGGAGAGATGAGCTCAGACCACAGATCCTGATCCACAGGGACACCTCCCAGCACTGTTGGCTTGGGCTGCTGGGGGAGCATAACCTTCCACAACACAGCCCAGATCTCTGCTAAAAAGCAATTATTGATGCTTTTATCTGTCTGCAGAGCCTCACAAATAAGGGATCACGGCACTGCAACAGGTGAGGGAGCAGCATCCTGGTTCACCCTAGGCTGTATGTCCAGTGCTGGAGTCTTGTCTGTGTCTGTGCATAGTTTATAATGTCTCCTGGAGGAAAAGTGGCAAAGCCAGGAGGCTTTGAGGAACAGTGGCAAAAGCCAGGAGGACAAAGCCATTTCCCTCTCAAAAGGATGCACCTAAGCAGAAGATTCAGCTCCCATCCAAAATCCATGAGTTGAAAGCCAGCTGTTTCTCAGGATTGCTGGCACGTGGCAGGAGGGTGGGAGGTAACACCAGCTGCGGTCCTGCTGCGATGGGCTGGCACTGGCACTGCTCTAGTTCAGCCCTGGCATGTTCACAGGGTGACAGCCAGTCTCGTGGAAGCACAAAGATGGAGATATGGGACTGAGGTTTTGCTGCATGAAGTCACAGCTGAGAGGGGATTGTCCAGGCATCCATGGATCCCAGTGTCATTATCCTAGTGATGTTCCCGGGGCACTCCTCCATGTTGTGCAGTAGAAAGGATAAAAGGGCAGCAGTGGGAGCAGGTTCAGCCTGCTGGAAATAATCCCTGCCCAATGTGTTCTTGTCCCCCAGTGCCCAGTGGGGACTGAGCATCCCTGTCCCAGAGCCACCATGGGCACTGGAGCAGGAGGGTGGAGCCAATGCCCACCTTGCTCAGAGAGCAGTCCTGAGCCCCCACAGTAACTGTGTGGCAGCTGCCAGCCCGTTTGGCCATGGCCTGACCTTGGTGTCCATGGATGTCACTTGCTTGGCCAACCACAGGCCAAGGGATGTACCTCGCTTGCCCATGGCCAGCATCCCCCAGGACTGATTGCTCCTCATGCAGGCAATGTTCCAAGTCCAAACATCAGCATGGGGCTGTGGCTGAGCGTGTCAGCCCGAGGGGCTGCTGGGGACAAGGCAGAGGCCGACGCCTGCAGGGCTGCTGTGGCCACATGCCAGTGACAAAACAGCACAGCGTGAGAGAAAGCCTGGGAAAATCCCTCAGACAAGCAAATGAAGATGGGCAGGAATACTTTCTGCACTAATTGCACTGCTGTAACAAGCAAACAGAGCACCAGGAGAAGGGCAGTAGCTGGACAGAGCCTGGCACATCACCCTTTTGGGGGCATGCTCTGGTTCTAATGGTGGTTAGGAAGGAGACAGGCGGTCTGTGCAGCTCTTGTGAGTCCCTGTGTCCCCTCTCAGTTTTATTTGCGTTTACTTCCAGTATTGAAAGTTCTTGTGATTTTTCTCACATGTCCACCAGTGTCTGCCACTTCCCACAGCCTCACAGGGCCAGCATCAGGTGACCACACAAGGATGAAAACACTTCTTTCTTTCCTTCTTTTGCTAACAAGCCCGCAGCCCTCGTGATTTCTGAGGTAACCCAAAGCCATGACCCCAAAGCGTCGGCCAGAGCTGTGTTCTGCAGATACCGTGAGCAGGGGAGAGAGGCAGGCTTTGCCTGGAGCTCATTTCTGTGCCCTTTACTGAACGCAGCAGTGGGGCGGGAGCTGTGCAGGACAGTGCAGGGGCAGTGCAAGGCCCAGTCCGGTCCATTCCATTCCATTCCATTCCATTCCATTCCATTCCGTTCCGTTCCGTTCCGTTCCGTTCCGCTCCGCTCCAGCGCACTCCGGCCTCGCGCGCTCCTTCCCGCGGGCGGCGCGTGCAGCCCCCGCAGCCGGCCCGGGGCGCGCTCGCACGTGACCGCGTCACAAGCCGGGGCCCTGCCCCGCCCCCTCCGCGGAATCCCACCCAATGAGCTGGCGGACGCGCGGAGTGTCCGCGCCGTGATTGGTCAGAGCGGGCGTCAGTCCGCGGGAGGGGCGGGGCACGGCGGAGGCCCCGAGTTCGGGGGTGTCGGAGGTAGGAGAGCGACGGGACAGGACGGGACAGAGCTGGACTGGACTAGACTAGGTTAGACCGGATCTGACTAAACTAAACTAAACTAAACTAAGCTAAGCTAAGCTAAGCCGTTTCAGCACGGTGGGGTCCCTGGGATGGCGGGGCCCGGGGCTGTGCCCGGCAGCGGGCGGTGCGCGCCGCGGGGCTGGAGCCGGGCGGGCCGCGCACGGCAGCGGCGGTGCCGCATCGGCCGCGGAGCCCCGGAGGATGCGCGGGGTGCTGGCAGCCCTCGGGCCGGGGGAGCGCTGCTCTGGGCCCGGTGGGACACACGGCTGTCAGACGCACTGAGCGGGTTTGCTGAAGTGACGGGAAATTGAAAGCTGTGACTCCCAAGGGAGTGACCTTCGGCCAGGGCTGCTCGGTAATTTGGGGCTTTCCAGCCCTGCACACACCCGGGGTTAGCAGCTGGACAGGCCCTGTGCCTCCCTGCCGAGCTCTGGCAGCCAAGCCCTGCCCCAGGCCGGCAGAGGTTCGGCCGTGCCGAGGGATGGGCTGTGTTGTTGGCAGGAGGCTCAGGGTGGCAGCCGTGTGCCCGCAGGGATGGCCGGCGGGAGCCAGGAGCGGAGCCTGCGGGAGGAGCTGACCTGTGCCATCTGCTGCGAGCTGTTCAGCGAGCCCGTCATGCTGGACTGCATGCACCACTTCTGCAGGGGCTGCATCCAGCGGTACTGGGACAGCTGCGGCCGCGGCCCCTCGTGCCCGCAGTGCCGCCGCCGCTGCCCCGGCCGCGCCGTCCGCACGCACTACCTGCTCGCGGGGCTGGTGGACAAGGTGCGGCGCTGCGGCTCGCAGCAGCACCAGCGGGAGATGCAGGTGAGTGCCTCCTGCCAGGCGGGGAGAAGGGGACAGGTGCCACACGAGCCCTGCGCGGCCACCACCTGTCCTCCCACAGGCGGTTCTGCCAGTGTGAAGCCTTTTCTGACCCAAGTCTGCTGATGTTTGGGTCTCTTTGCTCTCCCTGTTTCTGTATAGCTGTCTTTTGAACACTTTTCTTTTGCCATTGTTTCCCTCACTGCTGTGCCTGATTCCAACCACAGCTTTGTCATTTCTCATTTAAGGACGTGTTCCCTAAGTGAGAGGGGGGCGAGGGCTGCTTGTGCCAGGTGCTCTGCTTGAGGGGACAGTCCCTTCACAATACACAGCATTTAAAGCTTGTGCAAACAGATATCCCAGGCTGGAGCTCCCAGTCGTAAAAATAAACTGAATTCGTCACGTGCACAGATACTTCATTCTCAAGGCTGTGCATCAGGTGCTTGCTTCTCCTTACAGCCTTTATATGAGATCCTGCTGTATTCTCCTTCTGATGCTGACCGTAGGGATTGGGACTGCTCCTGAATCAGAGCAGAGTACTGAAATGGCCTCCTTGCCTTCTTTTCCTTCTTCCTGCAGAAGCACCTGGAAGATGCTTTGCAAGCTCGTCAGAAGGAGATGGAGAACTTGCTGCAGAGGAAGCGTGTGGTGCAGGAGGACATCTGCAGCCTGACGGTAACAGCTGTGGGAGCTGCTCTTCAGCAGCTTCTGGGACAGGCAGTGCTCACAGAGGATGTGTGTCTTCAGCTGAGGTCTAGCTCAGCTTCCTGTAAAAATGTAGATGAGTAACAGTGGGGATCTACAGAAACTCCCTTGCATGAAGGCCCAAGCTCATCACTGCTGGATATTCAGCAGAGGTTTCGAGAGGAGCATCAGCACTCATTAATGCAAAAGTGCATTGGTGCAGCAGAGGTGAGACATGGTGAGGGGTGAGAGCTGTGGGCAGCCTGCTCTGTGGGAGGAGCATCAGCACTCATTAATGCAATGTTTGCAAAGTGCATTGGTACAGCAGAGATGAGACATGGTGAGGGGTGAGAGCTGTGGGCAGCCTGCTCTGGCCCTGCAGTGCCTCTTTGGGACAGCATTAACTCCTGGCAGCTCTAAAATCCTCCCATGTCAGAAGGGATGAGCTGAAGGAACTGGGTCACTGGCAGGGTTGGCACTGCAAGAGTGGTGGCATTGTCACAAGTACAGTGTTGGGATTCACTGCAAAGCTCTGAGGTGCATGAGGAGCCTGAGTGCTCTCCATGGGCTTGAGAGGGACCAGGCTCCCTGTTGGTACAGATCTGTGAAGTGAGAACAGCCACAGGCTGACTGTGCTGCTTTCTTGGGTGGCATAAAAGCGTTAAAACCAGGGAAGGGGAGTTAAAGGAAAATGGAAGTAGTTCAAAGATGAGATAAAACTGAGAGGGTAAAAAAACCCTGTCTTCTGACTGGAGCCTCTGATCACCCAGCCTGGTCCATTTCAAACCTCTGTCCTCTTGCCAGATATGGAATAGACCTTGGAGATTAATGAAGAAGTATTAGCACATAAGCACGTGTTTTCCTGTTGCTGTGCAAGAGCCAAGAGGTGTCTCAAGAGCAAAGCAGCAAATCACTGATGTGAACAGGGAGGCCCTGCACCTCCTCTGTGGATCTGGTGTGTCAGCACAAACACCTGCTAGAGCAAGAGGAGGCTTGTGAAGATTCACATCTCTGAGGGAGATGGGTTTCCTGTGAGGAGAAAGGGATGTGCACTTCAGGAAGCACTCCTCAAGAAAGTAATGAGGGCTAAGGTTGCAGTTGGAAATTAAAAGCTTAAAGATTTAAGGAAAACAAAAAGTCATTGGCTGTCTCTTGTAAACAGGCAGTGAGAACACAACAAGGTTGGCGAGTAAACAACTGGAAAAAAGTGACCTGTGGATAGAGCTGAATGGGATTTTATCAGCCTTAATGACAGAGATTAGTTTGTGCAGCTTACCCATCAAGCAGCTCTGCTCAGGGCCTGGAATGATGTGAAATAAATGGAAAGTAACCTGATCAGCTGAGTCTGCAGCTCCACAGAATTTAAAGAGCTCCAGTCTTGCCCACAGGCAAATTCCTGGTGGTGTGGGAGAGGGCTGTGGCTGCTTGTGGGGATTTCTAGTTACAGTGACCACGCCTTTGGTGGAGCTGGTTTTTTGTGTTGGTTGGTTTTTCCCCTTTGGCTCTGCAGCCTTGAAGGCTGTCCTTGTGTCCTGTTCTCCATCCAAAAACTCATTGCTATGTCTAAACCTCAAATTTCCAGGGCTCTGTAAGCAGAGTAACAGGCACAGCCATCCTTGTGTGTGCTAGCTGTTGGACTCACCTTCTGCCTCTTCCCTCTGCTCAGAAAGTGTCTGGGGAGCTGAACTTCAAGATTCGGGCTGAGTTTGCTCGCCTTCATCAGATCCTGGAGGAAGAGGAGAGGGCTGTGCTGGCAGAGCTGGGTGAGAAGGAGGAGCAGTCACTGGCCCAGCTGCACAGGCACATTGGCCAGCTGGAAGAGGGGGTGGCATTGCTGCAGAGGGACATCGAGCACGTCAAGCAGACCCTGAGCAAGATGGAAGATGTGTCACTGCTGGAGGTGAGATGCTTTGCTGACTCTGGTAGGAGGCTGAGAGATATTTCAGGATCTCAAATTGGCATGGGGGAGTCTTAAATGACAGCACTAGGCTGTACCCCAAAGTCATTCTCACTGCCATCCCTCTGGATTATCTACCCAATCCTTTGGAGTCTGGAGATTTTAGCCACAAGGAATACAGTGACATCAGATCTGGTGGGTGTTGGGAGCCTTCCTCATTCTCCAACCAAGTGCCCAAACAGTTTTCCCCAGGCTACAGTTCCTCTTGGAACTGGTAGCTTGGTTTCCTCTCTCTGTGCTGTTTGGCAGCAGGAGGCAGGACAAGGAACTTATTTGTGCAGCAGCATGAATTAGAGTGACTGCTAATTCTCTCTGCTTCTCCCTGCAGGTGGAGAGCCTGGATATCAGGTACGTGTCTGGCATGAAAGAAGCTGATTCCCTCTTCAGGAGCTTATCTTAGTCCCTGGCTGGGACCACATGGGAGACACACTTATCTCAAGTTTTAAAAACATCACAAAGTGCTCAGGAAGTCGCTGGTGCTGTGCAAGGTGCAGGCTGGTCCCCAGCACACACACTGGATGCTCTTCCCAGGGAGCATCCTATATGTTGGCATGGCTGGAAGAGCACGTAGAGGAGACAGTGGTTTGGAATGGGTGCAAGAGACATGCATGCTGAAGAGGAAACAGACTTTGGGGTGCTTCATCTTCCCCCTGCTCTTCCTCAGCTTCTTACTACTCATGAGGCTGCAAAAGTGACCCTGAGGTGCAGGTTTGTCTGAGGCTGGGAGTAGTTGAGGGCCAGGACTGCCATAGGGGAGTGTGTCCCTGTCCCCTCCCTCTCTGGGATGCAGCCTGACTCCACAGGCCCGGCCAGGAATCCTGCTGGGTATGCTGGGTGTGGGTTTGCCAGGAGTCACTGCTCCACAAGCAGTGCTGCTGGCTCTGTCTGGGACAGCTCTGCCCTGAGCCACTCACTGCACTGGAGCAGAGCAAGCAGAGACATTTGTGTCCTGTCTTTACCAAATCTGTCACGTGCAGCACTGTCCTGCAGCCCTGCCCGTGCTTTTCCTGCCGGCATTGGCAGAGGGAGTGACCCTGCCTGCCTCTCTCTGCCCCAGGCCCTCGGTGCGTGTTGAGACCCAGCCTGCCCTGGACCTGCAGCACTACAGGGACAGCCACAGTGGCCCCTTGCAGTACATCTTCTGGAGGCAGATGCTGCGCTCCATCTGCCCTGGTGAGCACATCGCCGTGAGGGACGGGCCTGGGGGCCAGGGCTGCACAGGGAGTGTACAGCTGGTGAAATGTCATGTTTGATGTCTCCGCAGCTCCTGCCCCGCTCACCTTTGACCCTGAGTCAGCCCACCCCAACCTGGTCCTCTCCAGGGATCTGACAGCAGTGACAGAGAGGAGCCGAGCCCAGCCTGTCCCCGTCAGCCCTCGGCGCTTCCGTCAGTGCGTCAACGTGCTGGGCTCGCAGGCCTTCCACAGCGGCCGGCACTACTGGGAGGTCTGGGTGGGCAGCAAAACCAAGTGGGACCTGGGGGTGGCTGCTGAGGCTGTGGACCGGGCAGCCAGGGTCAAGCTGTGCCCAGAGAACGGCTACTGGACGCTGCGCCTGCGGAACAGGACGGAGTACTGGGCCTCTGCCAGCCCCTGGGTGCGCCTGGCTCCCCGCCAGCCCCCGCGCAAAGTGGGCGTCTTCCTGGACTGCCAGGAGGGCACCGTCGCCTTCTTTGATGCTGGGGACATGTCCCACCTCTTCACCTTCCACCAGGTCTCTGCAGAGAGATACTGCCCCTTCTTCAGCACCTGCTTCAGTGACGGGGGGGACAACGTGGAGCCCATGCGCCTCTGTCACCTGGCCCTGTGAGGGACGAGGTGCTGGGGACGCCAGCCTGGCTCCCGCCTGGGGCTGCTCTGGAGGCCAGCTCTGCTCAAACAAGCCTGAGGGGTGTTGGAGGAGCCGTTTTGGTTTCAGTTTTGGGAGGAAGGAGGGGATGAGTCTCTACCCAGTCCTGTCTGCCCTCCCTTCCCTGTGCCACGGCTGTGATATCCGATACAAGGCATTCACAGGGGTTCCTGGCCCCCTTCACGAGCACAGCTCAGTTCAGTAACAGCAGCCACGGGGCTGCGAGTTGCTGGCACCTCCTGCCTCTCTGTGCTCCCACCATAAGCCCCCTGGAGGAGGGCAGCGGTCCCGAGGCACCATCGGGTGCCTCTCAGCCCCACATCCCGGCCATGGCATCGTCTGCTGGAAGAGCTTCCCGGGGCAGGGCTCCGGGCCGGCGGCAGAGGGAGCCCGGTGCGCGGCCGGGGACTGAGCGCGGCTCCCTCGCTTCTGTCGCTATTAAAGCTCCTTAGAAAGCCACTGGTGCCTGCTGGGGCTGCTCGGGGCTTGTGTGCTGGAGGATCTGCTGCTCTGGGGTGTGGCACAGCCTGGGGACACCGAGCAGCCCCCCAGAGCCCTGCTCCAGCCCTGGCTGTTTTGTGCCTGCGGCAGAGGAGGCTCGAAAGAGACACTGCTCCTGTATATTTCCTTGGAGCATTCCCGGCACATCTTGCAGTGGCTTTTCATCATTTGCTGTTTGAGAACAAGGGAGAGAGGCTCTGAGCCTAGCCCTGGTCTTGAGCTACAGCGTTTTAAGATTTGGCCATCTCTGGCCTGGCTGGGTCTTAAGGATTTGTACATGTGAAAAACGCCAAGTCCCAATTTCCAAATTCAGCAGGAATGCGGCTGTTTTCCTGTCAGCCCCCTGTGGCCCTGCTGGCAGCACTGCACCTGCAGGAGGGCAGGCAGGGTCCCTGGAGGGGCAAGTCAAGGGGGTTTGGCTGCTGTTTTTGTGGCCAGGAGGTGCTGGCAGTGAGCAGGGGGGCTGGGATGGGTCCAAGCCTGGCTGGTGGAAGTGGTGGGTGGGAGGGCGGATGGCAGTGCTTGGGGTGGGTGGAAATGTCATGTTTTTCCCACCCAAATCCATTCCAGGCTCAAAGTAGAGGCCAGAGCTCCCCAGCACTGCATAGTCCCCAGTGCTGGCTGGAGCCAGACACCTCTGGCAGAGGCTCAGTTTTCTGTGGCATGGGAAGGGCCAGGTGTGAGGCTTTCCAGCTCCACAGCTGGGCACGGGGACAAACAAGGCCTTCACTGGCCATCTCTCTGTCCAGCAGGGGTGGCACAGGGACCCTGTTCCCCCATGGTACCACAAGGGACATTGCCTGTCCTGCACACCCTGCTGCACTGTGCCAGGGCAGGACAGGGAGCCAGAGGGGAGGATGTCCCGTGCAGGGCTCAGGCAGATGTGTCCTGTGCAGCAGTGCTGAGCACAGCCCGGGGCTGCTCCCAGTGCCTGGGAAGCCTCTGCTCTGTGCAGCCTTGCTCAGGGGTTGGGTGTGGAGGGTGTGCTGGGGGTTTGTGCTCATTCCTAGCCCTGGGCTGGCCTTTAGCTGGTGAGTGCTGAGCCCATAGGCTGGACTTGGCCTCCTCTCTCAGCTCTCATCTCCTCCTCTCACTGCCCCACAGGCTCAGCTGCAGTAAGAGTGGAGAAGATAGAGCTGGAAGTTGGCTTGGAAATGATGCTGCAAGGAGGGCTGTGTTACCCCCTTCAAGGGAGCCTGTGGAAAGGCAAGGCTGGTTTGATCACAGCAGGGAGTTACACCGGGGAAAGCTGAAACCCATCAGCTCCCCAGCCTGCCCCAAACTGCAGCCAGGTCTGGCTGGACAGCAGCAGGAGTGTCCCCAAGGGGTGACAGGGCATGGATCTGCCAGGCACCGGCAGGGTGAGCACAGCCAGGCTTTGCTGTGTGCCAGCTCCCCTGCCCAGCGCTGCCGTGTGCCCTGTGCCACGGGGCCAGCATGAGGCACAGGCTGCCAGCGTGTGCCACTGCCCTGTGCCACGGGGCCAGCGTGAGGCACAGGCTGCCAGCATGTGCCACTGCCCTGTGCCACGGGGCCAGCCTGATGGCACAGGCTGCCAGCGTGTGCCACTGCTGCCACCTCCCACACCCTCCCCATGCCTAAGGCTGAGCTGCAGAGCAGCCAAACCCGCTTGTCCCAAATGCTCCTGAGGGAGCACGTCCTTTCTTCTCCTTCTGGGCTGTGCGTGGTGGCTGTGGTGTGGCTGCTCCCAGGCAGAGCCACATTTTGGGATATGATGTCCTTGCCTGGCCCTGTTGGTGGGGCAGGGCTGGGGAGGCAGAGCAGCTCCTACATACAGGGAAAACGCTGCTCTGGGCTGCCACGTGTGCAGTGTTAGCCCACTGAGGAAATGTGGTCTAGATGCCACTAGATGCTGCCTGATAAACAATTTCTCTGACAAACCAGAGCACTGTAGGTGTAGTCAGGTATGGTACTCTATGGAGTAGGAACCATAGGTGTGAATGCAGTGACTGCCTGAGCTTGGCCTGGGTTCAGGCAGGAGGGGATAGGGATGGGAGAGTGGACACGATGGGGTTAAAGCACCTCTCACCCCAGCATCCAGACTCTGCACCTGCCAGGACTGGCTCTCACCCATCTTCTCCCAGGTCCAGGCTGTGTTTTTCTTGTGGGTTACCTCATTGCTTTGTCCCTGGGTGTTCCCAGAGCCACCCCAGTGTCCCTTTCCCATAGTTATGCTAGGGCTGGGCAGTGTCCAGCAGCTCCTGCCTTGGCAGCCTTCTGTGTATGTCTTTATCCAGCGCTTTGGGGAAGCCTTTGCTTCCTCGGGTCCCCCCACGTGCTGGAATGGGGACAAGATTTTAAAATAAGATCCTTTTGTTTCCCAGGGCCGCAACAATGGAAAGGTCCCATCGGTCCCACAGTCGCCCTGCGTTTGTGATGGAAAATTCCCCGCCGTGGCGGGCGATCCCTCCCCGTGTCCTGCCGTTTCTGCCATTAGATGGCAGCACGGACGGGCTGGTCCTGGCCGGGCCGCCGGCACCGTGCCGCGTTCGGGCTGCTGAGGGTGGAGGATGCCAAAATCCCTTCACTTTTGGGGTGCCAGAAGATGCCTGTCCCCTCGCCCGCGGGTCAGACCCTCTGCTCCTCTCGCGCTCAGCTTCTCCAGGCACCCTCTGTGTCCTTCGGCCAGCAGCTCGGTGGTGCCATTCCCCTGCCACTGCCCACCCCCAGCGCCTCACCACTCCCCTCTCAAGGGCACTGACCTCGACGCTGTCCCCAGCGTGTCCCCACTGCGTGGCTCTCTGATCACAGCCCCTGTCACTGGGGAGGGGTCTGATCCCGCAATTTCAGCTCTTCACTCCTTAGTGCTGGTCAGTGACACCCCTCTGTGACATTCCAGCTCTCCCTTATCATGGCAAGTTTTGGAAGTCTCTCTTCAAACTTGTACGGGCTTGGACACCCACCTGGGATGAAGGGACGTGGCCACTTTCTGCTCTGCTGGCATCCAGGAGGGAGGTGATCCAAAATGACTGAAGTGTGAGCTGAAGAGTGATGGAGTTGGCACTCTCTGGGTTTAAAACTCACTAATCAGGATGGGGAGAGTCGAGGAAAACAAATTCTGTGACAGAGTCCCTCTGAGGATTCTAGGAGAGGAACAGGGTGATTTTTTCTGTGAGTTTGGCATCGTGAGCAGTTGAGTGCACCACAAGTTTTCCTGCCTTTTTGAAGCCATGAGCACATGGCTTTCATTCAGGCTCTTTCTTCACTGCCTACAAGTGAGCCTAATTAATAACCCTCTGGGGCGCAGCGCGGGGCCGTGTTAATCGATCCGTTCAGCGCTCGTTGGGTGCCCAGGCAGCTGGCCAGGGCTGTGCCACCCCGCTCCCGGGGCTCTGCCATCGCCTCCGTCTGTGGCGCGTTCGCAGCCAGCTCGCTCCGAGCCGGAGCCGCTGTCGCTGGCAGCGGCAGCGCTGTGGGGGCAGCGCCGCTGGCACCGGTGGGGCGGCACCGCTCCTCTGCCAACGCCACGGGCGAATCTGTGCGGGAATGTGCTGTGTACCTGCCAGAGAACCGTGCGAGTGCCGCACCCAGCTGTGCTGAGGGACAGCGTGGCTGTTCCACGGTGCTGGCGCTGTGCACGCGTGGACGGCGAGAGTGGGGGACCCCACTGCACCCCCGCTGAATAAGGGTGCAGTGTGAGCACACCCAAGTGCGTGTGTGTCTGTGCGCCCCAGGAGTCCGGCAGGAGGGAGGTTCAAGGGGTGTGTGCAGAAGTGTGTGCCTGGGTGTGTGCGTACAGGTGTGAGGTGTGGAGAGGAGGGGGTGCACAGGCATGAAGGGGTGTGTGCAGGCAGGCGCGAGATGTGTTCCATCGCATGAGGTGCGTGTGTGCTGTTGTTGGGAGCGTGTTTGTGTGCATTCCCCCTGCTCCGAGAGGCCGGGATGTGCGCCCAGGCACAGACAAGAACCAGGCGATGTGCGGGCATTCTCACACAAATGCAGGAGTGCACACAGGTGTGAAAATACACGCAGGTGTGGCGGTGCTCATGTGCCCATGGGTCAGGGATGAAGCAGAGCCACGCACACGCATGGGCAACACACCCCCAAGATGCAGGGGATGCAGACTCACGCACACAGGTGGAGACACCCAGGTGCGAAGGGATGCGCGCACCCCCGCTGGTGCGGGGAGCGCGGATTCCCCGTCGGTGCCCGGAGCCGCAGGTGCGCTCCCCCCAGCCCCCTCTGCCGCCCCGCCCG